ACTCGATGGCACCTAACAACAACAACAAAGTTGTTATCATGACTAATTGCAACTGTCACACTGTAAAGGTAGAAGTTGTGTAACAAAAAGGGAAGAGTAGTTAATCTTACAGTTCAGAAATAGAGTACCCTAGGGTCATCAAGGGAAAAGAGCATGAGCTGAATGTGGGACCTTATCCAGAGAAGCAACAACACCAGAGATGGAAGCAGAGGTGAGGGCACCGAGAGAGAGAGCAGCTGAGAACTCTAGACTAATGGAAAGAGAAAGATTGAATTCTGGCAGCCAGGAGGCAGGCTTGCAGAATGTGCCCTTTGGTTGTTTAAATTATTATATATTCCTGAGTGGTTTTCTGTACATCCTCTTGCCTCCTCCCCCCCCAAAAAAGAAAAGTAAACAAAATACAGAAAGAAGCAAATACTGTTGAATGATGATGTATGGAGGGGATTGTAATTATTGCAATGAAACGATGAGTGTAAGGGTGAAAACATGGCATTGTGTTTTACTTATTACATTCTGCATTCGATTGTTGCCTCCACATAAGAATTGTACTTCTCAGATCATGTGTTCTAGAATTGTCCTGGTATTACATTTTCTATACCTTAGGCAAAAAACTATTCAATCTTACTTGTCAATTTCTGTGGCTATGCATTTAAATTGTAAAATAAAGTCATGACAAGCATGCTAGATCTCTCTGTAATATACTGCTAGAATACACAGGATCTGATCTGCCAGCTCTTAACACATGTCAACACCACAGAAATTGATGGCTGATTTGTGTATAGATTCTGTGGAATATAGCTGTCAATCTTCCATTTGGTTTCACTGCTTTAGTGGCTTAGTTAATATAAGGGGACCAAAAGGCAAAGAACATCAAACCCATTCTGATCATGGCAATCCCAGCAGAGTAGAGCTGCTCTATAGGGTTTTCTTGAATGTAATCTTAACAGAAACTGATTGTGGTGACACTGAGTGATTTTAACCATAAAAAGTGAACGCAAAACCAAAACCAAACCCACTGCCATAGAGTTGATTCCAACTCATAGCAACCCTATGTTGAGTTTTTGAGGTTATAAATTTTGAATGAAGTAGAATGCCTCCTCTCTCTCTCCTGATTGGCGGATGACCAATTTGAACTGTTGACCTTTTAGTTAGCAGCCCAATGCATAACTCAATATGCCA